TCAAAATGAAATTACGCTGGATTCGGTAGCTAGCAGTGAGCTTTGTGCAATTTGAGTGGTTCTCAGTGTGGTGCTGACAGCGACGGATCAGTGACTGGAACTGGGCGAAAAATGTCTACTCAATCCGAGCGAAAGGGAAGTTGGGGAATTCGCAACAGAAGCAGGGGAGGGATCGTCGGATCTCCCTACGAAACACCACAAAATTTTGCATTCGCATTCCTCCTACAAACATCTCTACACACACGCTACTTAATTGGTTTGTCAGTAGTGTAGAAGCTCAAACTTGCGTGTGAATCACGACTTGGCAATTTTGACCAAACATTACACTACAATGTCCTTCGGGTAGGCCATTAACAACAACAGCCATTTGCGATACCGGCAGCATTGGCATTGCATTGATGGGCCATTTGTTATGAGCCGAAGCTGCCAGACACAGGTGATGTGAACATGCAGTGCGCACTGGGAATGTCACATGACTGCAGTCTTTTCCTGCATCTCTTGCCTTGCCTTAGCTGATTGCCAACCAAATCTTGTCCATTAGAACCAATGTGTCCATCCGCTTCAGCATCATCAACAGACAACAAGGGCATCACCTCCAAGGTGGTCGACGACGAAGCACACCACGGTGCTGACGCTTCTGTGAGTTGCGAAATTCACACACTCTGCATTCACGTTTCCAACTTTACTGCCGTTGGCCCATTGCCAAAGATTCCTGCACGATTGGTGAGTGATTTGGTCATTGACATAGCTGACTGATAAGGGGGCCAATTTACCCTCTTCCTCCACCTTCAACCCTGGCTACACCAAGGCCAGCGTCGAACGTCCATACCAACGAAATCCGCAGCAATGGGTAATATCCAATGGTCGGAGGACAATGCGAAGCAGCAACTCGCGCTTGCAACCCAGAATGTGGCGTGAACATGGCCCTTAAGCAAGCACCGCTCCGCTGCTCTCGAGTAGTGTCTTCATACGACTCTAAGTGAGGCGTCATAGCATGTCCCACCGACCCCTTATTTTGTCTTCAAAGTACTGCCAAGTGTTTGGTGACTTGACGTGAATTTTGGAAGTCCAAACTTAAGTGGGTGACTCGTGGTGGAGGGATATGTGGTAAAACGGCAAGAGGATGTGAGGTGGATGAGATGGCATGACCATTCGCATTTCGTGTCCGAATCGGTGAATGGAAGAGTGGTCGACATGTCTACAACTCGCACACACACACACACACACACACACATAAACCTTA